TTTATGAAACAAATCCATCATAGTTTTTTAGCAAAATGTTAATGTTTCTTGACATTTAACAGCAGATGAGTGAAGTAATCTGTGAATGCGTTAAATTTTCGAAGTTACATTTTTCTTACTTATAAGACACACCCACCGTAACCCCACTTGGACTTACCCAACCTTAGTTAATTCCCAAGTGATAGCATTTAATCCATCAAACAGACAGCGCCGAACTTGTCCCGTAAACCCACACAAGTTATAATGTTTATATTGTTGATCAAACAGTAAGGAATTATGTGAAGATTATTCTTCTAATAAATATTGCTTTACTCACCATAAACTGGCTGCATCTATCTGAACCACGGGCCATGGTAAATAGAATTTCTCAACCAATTCGCGGGCCACACAAAAGTTCGGGCCGCGGGTTGCCCATGCCTGATCTACATTATAAAACTCTTAATCCGTGATGATGAATGTCATGGGTTGCGTTGGGTCTACCCTGCACAACCCATCCCAGATGTTTGTTTACGGTAGATAAGGGACCAGGCGAGCCGTGATTCTGTCATCACTATTTCATTAGTGGGTATGTGAGCTTTTTTTTTTTAGTTTAACAAATTTATTGGCAGAGCTTGTAGTACAGTTTGCCTATTCTGAGTAATTCAGTCAGGTCTTGACACTGAGGGTGGTATCACTTCTCACTGCCACGCAGGACAGAGGTTCATACACAAAGAAATATGTGAGCTAGTCTATGGGAGGAGGAGGAGGGGGTGATTGAGACAGTTGTGTATTGTTCATCGTGTCTCACGCCCAAAACCACATTTTAGTCAGTGGGCTTTAGACCTTGGGTCAGAAAAGACCTGCTCCGCGTACTTAAGAACAGAGGTCATACAGTCCTACCAGTGCTACGAGTCTGTGTGTGCAAATCCCCGAGATTGTTGTTAAGTCTAGCGACAAGTTAACACATCCTGTAAAGAAAGTGGTCACTGGCGAGGGCCTGTTTGCTACAAGAGCACTCCAGGCCGGCCTAATAGATCTAAACGGTTAATTCTCCAAGTTGACAAACTCTCCCTTATAAAATTACGGTACTGTTGTGTGAATGTGAGTGACTGACCTATCCATGCAAATTATAAGTGCAGTGTATGGAATTATGCCAAATAAACGTAAGTGCTATTATCCGCCCGTATCTGTGATCCCTATATTATTATTACCAAAGGTAATGACTGATTGGTTATGACAAAGTATAATCAATAACTTAGATGGATGTTGGAAATTAATGGAATTCATTAAAACATCATTTATCAAGTACACAACGCATTGAATGCCGGAAGCGAAGTGAAATTCTACGTAATGATACATCATAATCTCCTGGGTGAGTAACCAGTGTGAGCGTATCTGAACTCTGCGGTAAGAAAACCATTGTCCTGCATTTAAATCGTAACAATGAAGAATGTTGTTTCTAAAACCTAACCTAACCTAACCTAACTCAACCTAACCTTTAGTTCATAAAATAATCCTAAGTGTAAATTCGACCAACTCTACGATACGTATCCTTCACCACGCCACCATCTCCCTCATACCTGCAAAAATGGAACGCAAGGAACATGAAATTTCCACTGATGATGGCCACCGTTCCTACAGCTAATTTCCACTGATGATGGTCACCGTCCCAACAGCTAATTTCCACTGATGATGGCCACCGTTCCTACAGCTAATTTCCACTGATGATGGCCACCGTCCCAACAGCTAATTTCCACTGATGATGGCCACCGTTCCAACAGCTAATTTCCACTGATGATGGCCACCGTCCCTACAGCTAATTTCCACTGATGATGGCCACCGTTCCAACAGCTAATTTCCACTGATGATGGCCACCGTCCCAACAGCTAATTTCCACTGATGATGGCCACCGTTCCAACAGCTAATTTCCACTGATGATGGCCACCGTCCCTACAGCTAATTTCCACTGATGATGGCCACCGTCCCTACAGCTAATTTCCACTGATGATGGCCACCGTCCCTACAGCTAATTTCCACTGATGATGGCCACCGTTCCTGGCTAATTTCACTGATGATGGCACCGTTCCAATTTCCTGTTGATGGCCACCGTCACAAGCTAATTTCCACTGATGATGGCCACCGTTCCAACAGCTAATTTCCACTGATGATGGCCACCGTCCCAACAGCTAATTTCCACTGATGATGGCCACCGTTCCAACAGCTAATTTCCACTGATGATGGCCACCGTCCCTACAGCTAATTTCCACTGATGATGGCCACCGTCCCTACAGCTAATTTCCACTGATGATGGCCACCGTCCCTACAGCTAATTTCCACTGATGATGGCCACCGTCCGTACAGCTAATTTCCACTGATGATGGCCACCGTCCCTACAGCTAATTTCCACTGATGATGGCCACCGTCCCTACAGCTAATTTCCACTGATGATGGCCACCGTCCAACAGCTAATTTCCACTGATGATGGCCACCGTTCCTTAGCTAATTTCCGCGATGATGGCCACCGTCCCTACAGCTAATTTCCACTGATGATGGCCACCGTCCCTACAGCTAATTTCCACTGATGGTATTTACCGTCCAGCTAATTTCCACTGATGATGGCCCACCAAATCCCTACAGCTAATTTCCGCGATGATATTACCGTCCTTACAATAATTTCACTGATGATGGCCACCGTCCCTACAGCTAATTTCCGCACTGATGATGGCCACCGTCCGGCCACCGTAACAACCACTGATGATGGCCACCGTCCCTACAGCTAATTTCCACTGATGATGGCCACCGTCCCTACAGCTAATTTCCACTGATGATGGCCACCGTCCCTACAGCTAATTTCCACTGATGATGGCCACCGTCCACAGCTAATTTCCACTGATGATGGCCACCGTCCCTACAGCTAATTTCCACTGATGATGGCCACCGTCCCTACAGCTAATTTCCACTGGTGATGGCCACCGTCCCTACAGCTAATTTCCACTGGTGATGGCCACCGTCCCTACAGCTAATTTCCACTGGTGATGGCCACCGTTCCTACAGCTAATTTCCACTGGTGATGGCCACCGTTCCTACAGCTAATTTCCACTGGTGATGGCCACCGTTCCTACAGCTAATTTCCACTGGTGATGACCACCGTCCCTACAGCTAATTTCCACTGGTGATGGCCACCGTTTAAAGCCTACATGATGAGACATAAAACCAAAGAAAATGTCCACTTAGTCGGGATCCAAACCGAATAATTCCCGTATTTTTATTGTGTAAATAAAGCATTGAACGAAGGTCCTATAGTAATTTATTATTGGTTGATTTCTCCCACGGCTTTTGATATCTTTAATAGATTTAATAGTTCGTAAAGGTTAAGTATTTGTTGGTTAATAAGTGAGACGTGACGTTAGAACACTAAGTTAACAAAAATGGCTGCTAATGTACCGCTGTGGCGTCATAACTCACTTTGTGGGAAAATGGCTGCTAATGTACTGCTGTGACGTCATAACTCACGTAAAGTTAATAAATATGCTGTTAATGTACTGCTGTGACGTCATAACTCACGTAAAGTTAATAAATATGCTGTTAATGTACTGCTATCGCGTCATAACTCACGTAAAGTTAATATATATGGCCGTTAATGTACTGCTGTCGCGTCATAACTCACGTAAAGTTAATAAATATGGCCGTTAATGTACTGCTGTGGCGTCATAACTCACGTAAAGTTAATAAATATGGCTGTTAATGTACTGCTGAGGCGTCATAACTCACGTAAAATTAATAAATATGGCTGTTAATGTACTGCTGAGGCGTCATAACTCACTTAAAGTTAATAAATATGGCTGTTAATGTACTGCTGAGGCGTCATAACTCACTTAAAGTTAATAAATATGGCCGTTAATGTACTGCTGAGGCGTCATAACTCAGGTAAAGTTAATAAATATGGCTGTTAATGTACTGCTGAGGCTTCATAACTCACTTAAAGTTAATAAATATGGCCGTTAATGTACTGCTGAGGCGTCATAACTCACTTAGTAACCTAAGTCCAGCGGCTGTTAAGGAAGCCTAGGCCGTGTTACCGTAGACATCTTATACTTTATTGGTCGACTGGCAGCATCATGTATGGGAGCAGATTCTAGTTTGGTGTCCGTATGATACACGGCATTACGGACAAACCCACAACTGTATGTTAACCTTGAAACTTAACCCCAAGACGAATAACCTAACCTAACCTAACGTAATTATAGTGGTAAACACGTAATGGCAGTTATTAGGGTTGTGGTCCTAATAATGGTTATAACATATGTGGTATTTCTTCTAATACAAATAATAATAATAATAATAAGAATAATAAGAATAATAAGAATAATAAGTTAGACAAACAGTAATAATACTGTTGCTACACTCAGGGGCTCGTGTGTAGTGTAGTAATGGTTGACTTGGGCTGAAGCATCAACTATGGTGCACAAAGTATCATCAAAGTTACACTGAGATTATAATTTAACAAGATACTCAGCCTCAGGCAGAAGACGGTTAATGGTGGCATAATATTCTCCTTGTTGTCTACTTGAATTTTGTCTTACTCACTGATTAGATGTTGAGGTAGAGTCTCAAGGTGATGTTGATGACATATTTAGGTTTGTGACTGAGCTTAATTCAACCAATAAGATTCATTTGTATGTCTTCCGTTTGCCTTAATGAGGAAGAGAGGACCGAAATAGGTTTAATTAAGCCAAACGTGTTGGTGCTACGTACTGTTGAGAACTTTGAACTGGGTGTCTCCTTCAGGAAACACCTTCTGTACTGTACTGTTAACTTGATAACTCTTACACACTGTATTGTATAGTGATTCGAACCCACTTTTTTCATCTAGAGAACCGAGAACGTACAGTATAGTATCAAAGCAATAAAACGTACATTGTTTCAAGTGCAAAACTGAGCACACACGCACAAACACACACACACACACTGTCAAATAGGAAACTGAGAACGAATGATCTCAGAAACATAACTAAACACACACTGTGTCAAGGGAAGAACGTGGCAGGCGGTGTACTTCACCTAAACTGAAGAGTGAAGACAGTTACGTCGGTAATTCCATACCTCATCGAAGGATAAGATAAGAGATAGGAGGCGCCGGCCCAAACAAAGATAGAGGCCGCTGAACTAGACAGACAGGGAAGCCACGCACTGATGCCGACACTGACCGTAAATACTTCCCTCACGTGACCACTATCACTCACTTATTATGTATTTATGACCACTCGTTAGCTTTGTGTTATACAGTAGGCTGAACATATTACTATTGTCTTTACATTGGATCACCTGAATATTAGACACCCCACCTTATCTCACCTGATAATTAAACACCCTAACCTAACCTCACGGAAGTTATTCTTAAGTCTCCCCCTTTTTTTATCATCACTCCATACACGCCTGGTCTATGTACTGATCCTAGGCCTGTGTGTTCAGAGTTTCATTCACTCTCAAAGCAACACTCGGTACTGTATAGATTGGGCGGAGGGCGTTATACAGTCAGCTACTACACGTATATTCCTCCAAAGATATCCCCCCCCCCCACTCCTCCCACATATTTGTCTAGTGGTCTCTCACAACTGTCTCCCCCAATTCTCTCTCTCTCTCTCTCTCTCTCTCTCTCTCTCTCTCTCTCTCTCTCTCTCTCTCTCTCTCTCTCTCTCTCATACCCTCCTCCATCTTTCTGTACTCGATACAGTACGACTTACAGGTGTGACGTCATCATCTGTTGTTGCAGGTCATCAACACGACGAGGCTTTAAAAGTTTCAAATGGATTTGGTCAACGGCTCTTAAGAGATTTGGTATGTGAAACAGGTGAACATTCCAGCTTATATCTGATAAGGATTATGATAAGCTGGTGAGGCCTCCACCTTAACAGTTAGTGTTATCTCACATGAATACTTGTAAACAGAGTCCAGCAGAGTCTTAAGATTTATAATATTTCTGTAGGTGACGATATAAGAATGTACCTAACAAGGAAGGACTCGCTTCATCTAAAGCACAGAAATAACGCCCCCACAAAACATAAAATAATTCCCCTTGGACACTTTACACCAGCTAGGAGACGCAATTAAGCTACGGAATCTTCATAAAATATATACCTACAAAACATTTATAAACATAATATCATTTTACCGCACGCGACACGAGAGTAATTTTTAGTTAAATATAAGTCTTACCCTGCTGTTGTTCCTCACCATACACACACTGACCTGCTAAAGCATTAACTTATTTGCTGTTTTCTTAGTTAAAATGGAGAGAATTACTGAGATGAAATGCGTAAAGAATTTTATTTTATTTATTTGTTTGCAGTATTTATTTTTTTCACGGGGATTAGCCCACCCGGGCACAGGTCACTGACCCACATCAGGGTCTGTTCACCTAGCAGTAAGGTAGGTACCTATTGTAAGTCGAAAGTTGCGAATTCGTATTCAGGGAAAGTTGTTGGAGCTTCCAATAACTTGATGACACAAACCACTGACTCTTCAGGTTTCTACGCCCTTAACCCATGAGACATAAAGGCAAGCATGAACTTAGCATGCTTCCCTGTTGGGCGCTGTAAACGCTTCTGCGCTTCACCTTACACAAGGATGTAGGGGGGTGCCCAATAAAAAAGAAAAAGAAAGGAAAAAAAAATAATAATAATAATAATAATTCATAATAAATACAATTTATAATACAAAAAATTGAAAATGAAATAATAATATAATAAAAATAACAACACTGTAATAATAATAATAGTATTATTATTAATAACAACAATAATAATAATAATAAAAATAATAATAATAATAATAATAATAATAATAATAATAATAATAATAATAATAATAATAATAATAAAGAAATACAAAAAATGAAACAAGATCAAAAGTGAGAAACGCTATATGTATGTTGTGTTGTCAGTAAGAGAAACAATTGAGACCCTGCAATTGTGTGTAAATGAGGCAGAAAGACAGATCAGCAACCTGGGACTTGGTCACAATTTTCGTGGTGCCATATGGCAGCAGGGTCTACCATTAGACAACACATTATGCTTCCAATATCTTCCCAGGCGGTAGTACCTCCCTCTTTGGTAGCTGTTTACTACCTATTGCCACTTGTCTCGATTTTCAGTTGAAAATTGTAGCATCACCTGGGAGGGCCCATGCCATTGTTGTCAACGTACTGTACACAAGGTCGGACCTCTGCTTGTGCATTAAAACATCCATACATTGAGGAGCTCCCTGCCACAGTGTTCATCCTGTGTTATATAAGAACTTGAAACATTCTACCTCGGTGAGCACATGTGACCCTAATACTTATCAGAACACAACAAATTTATGCCGTGAAATGTTCAGATGTGTGAAGAATGAGAAGACCAGAGTTAGCATAATCACCTTTATTGCTTATACTGTACATCGATTTTTGTTCTTCCATCAACAGAGTCTACAAGATAAATAACACAAAAAATATAATTAACATTCAAGAGAAGGTGGAGGTATGGCTTCTCATTTATTTATTTTTATCGGGAATTACCTCACTGGCTTCCTCTGGCTTCTTCCTGAAACACTTAACATCACCAGCCTCACCTTCTCTTGGGTGCTGTAGCGAGCCATCAGGGCTGGTACAGTATAATCTTACATAAAAGAGAAGAAGCAATTCACTAAAGACTAATAACTGATAATTCATTCGTACAAGTTGACACTTAGAGATCAGACTTGAAGTACAGTGAGGCGAACCATCATTATCCTCCACCCACGTCATCATTATCCTCCACCCACGTCATCATTATCCTCCACCCACGTCATCATTATCCTCCACCCACACCATTATTGCCCTCCACCCACACCATTATTGCCCTCCAACCACACCATCATTATCCTCCACCCACACCATCATTGCCCTCCACCCACACCATCATTATCCTCCACCCACACCATCATTGCCCTCCACCCACACCATTATTGCCCTCCACCCACAACCATCATTGCCCTCCACCTACACCATCATTGCCCTCCACCCACACCATCATTATCCTCCACCCTCATTGTGCTCCTACCACCTTTTTACTGCCTCTCATGGGACATATTTTTTTTCTTTTTTAGTTTAACAAATTTATTGACAAAGCTAGGAGTACAGTTTGTCTATTGTGAGTAATTCAGTCAGGTCTTCACACTGAGGGTGGTATCACTTCTCACTGCCACGCAGGACAGAGGTTCATACACAAATAAATACATCATATTCATTAACAGTATACATATACAGGGTGAACATAAAGTCTTTCCCTGATTACAAACATTTATTACACAAAATATATGCTAGGTACAAACATACAGTTTTTGCAGCTTAAAATATGCATGAAAAAAAATCTATGAATTCGTCTACACAATGCTACAACATTCATGTTTCTATCTAGAATGGTCTTCGAGATATGATTTTTCATAATCAGGGAAAGACTTTATGCTCACCCTGTGTATATATATATATATATATATATATATATATATATATATATATATATATATATATATATATATATATATATATATTTTATATATATATATGCAAGTAAATCACTGTAGGTGCGCGTGATCTAGGTATATGCTGATAACCACAAGGAAAGAGGAAAACACGAAGTTCCCAAGCGCTTTCGTGTAATTCACATATACACACCTACACATATATACATAGATCAGATTCATGTGGGTGATGTCACTGTTCACTGCCATTAGTGGGGCAGCGAAATGCAATTTTTCAAGAGAATCATGCAAATGGTGATACAAGCACCATATTTATCATGGTAATTCTCTAATTGTTACTAGTCAAGCCTTCCTAATTGGCCATTTGAAAATCCAAGATGGCGGCCATTTTTCAAGATGGCCGCCATATTAACCTTCAAAAGTTGATTTTTCTTATAGAAATTAATGTAGTTGGTCAATCTGAGTGATCTCGGTGTCGATATGTATGTTTTCAAGCATGCTCAGATGATTTTTTTATAGTTTTAAGTCCATTGTCACATTTTTATCCACATAAAATAACACTTTTAGTAAAAAATATAACAGAAATGAACTCACTAAAAAAAAAGTACTCACTATTAGCACTGGTTCCTGTGAGTTCTCCTGACAGTACATCTTTGGGCATTTACTGCTGTTCACATAAGCAGCTGCAAAGTGCTGTGCAGGAAAGTCCAGAGCGAAAGCATTTGCATCTCTGGTTGCAGTCCTTCTTACAGGAACATTTGGTCAACTCTTGACAGCATGTCGCAATCGGGGGAAGAGTCGTCCAAGGTATCTGCCATGCCTCTCCCTTCTGCATCCATCCCCAGTTGACAGGACTGCTGGTTTCTGGATTGGAGATTGTTGCCTGGTCCCAGATGATACCAGCCTGGTAGGCAGCCCGCTTTGCATGTTCCTTGAGGGCTGCCTGGGAATGGAGTCATATGGTCTCTGCTTGCGGGAAAAGAGATTTAGTCTTGCCTCATCTACACCAGTGGCCGCACTAGATCTGTCGTACATGAGGACAACAAATTTTTCCAGCTTCTGCAGGTCAACATCAGCAACTGTTGTTGGACATTGCAGAGTTCTTTCCTTTCCCACGGAAGCCAGACACAACGTCACAGCCAGTGAAAGCATGGAAGTATAGGATCACACTAGCTTTCTTATGCCCTATCGCAGAAACTACATCATTAGATTTGTTTTGCCAGGGCATACAGTGGCTGGTCAGCAGCTATAAATGGGATCTGACCTGGGTTTAGAAAAGTCACTGTGTCACGGACCTTTTCCATGACATGCTTGATGGTTGCCACAGAGTGTGCTTGATCTCGAAACAGGGGAAGCAGAGACGTAATGCTCACTTCAAATGGCTGACTCCTCTTCTGTGCTGCATGATGAGCTGCCCACGTGATGCAGACTTCATCAGCCACATCCTCAGTGAGCAAGACCTCTTCCAGCCAAGCATACTCTTCCTGCAGGTGTAACTGGATTGACTCAGGTGCTGGCAATGACTGAGGTGCTACCAAGGGAGGATTGGGATTCTTCATAATATAAGCTGGTCGGACATTGGTGAATGCCTCTGGAAGCTCAGGAACTTTCTTGACCATCGTATCTGCATTCCGTCTGAGTGGCTCACGCTCCTCACCAGCCTGCTCAGGGCTTGGACTTTGGAAGATGGACACACTGGTCCCATGGAAGGACGTTTTGGCCGTAGTCACAGTGGGGTTGTGGTCAATGTTGTCCACTGTTGAAGTCGTGAACAACTGCTTCCTCAAGGTTGGTGGACACACCACTTCCATGTACTGGCATACAACCGCTTCTCCTAGCTGGGCTGATAATTGTAGAACTCTGTCATATGAAATGCTGACCCCATTATCATGCAGCATGTCGATGAGCTGCCTCTTTCTTGTCTCAGCAAACACAGACATGCCGATGTAGATAGCAAAATGTGTCTCATGGTCCTTGGAGTGTCTGTGGATTTGTGTTCCTACCTTGTAGCTGGCAAAGCAGTTGTACTGTAAGAGCTGTGACATAACAAGGTCAGACTTCGATGCGCCATGCTGGAGTTGGGATTTGATATCTGTACCATGTTCGATCATGCATACAAATTGAAGCAGTGATGGTGGAACTGCCTGTTCAATGCAGCCTCATGAAATGTACTGCTGAAGTGTGACTTGTGCTGAAGCATGTCCTGTCGTATCATCCCAGCAGCCTTGGCCAGATGGATCGCGTCACCGTATTTGCTTGCTTGTGCCAGGATTGAGCCAACATCCTTCTCAAAGGCCAGTAGGATATCTCTTCATTGGTGATGAGCTTGCAGCTGGGGGATGTGAAAAAGCAGCTGGTCCTTCAGTCGAGTAGCATGAACATTGGGCGATCCAACACCCAGCTGCTCAAGTCTTTGTCTGTAGAGTGTGACCAGGTCAGCAAGTCTGAAAATGGGTGGTTCAGTACCTTCACTAGAAGCTTTCATCTGAGTGATGTAAGTGACCAGTTCAGAGAAAGCAGTTGGGTATGCGTCCTTGTTCGGATGAAGCTCTTGTGCTTCTTCTTGCTCATGAGCATTTCGGTGTGTTCTTTCTCGGTTGTACAGGTCTGCCAGGCAGCGAGGGTGATACTTCAGTTCTTGTGCCACAACATCTCCTGCACTTAGTTTGGCACGGAGTTTTCCATCGCTAAGTGTCTTCGCACAATCATTCAATCTTGGATTAAGTTTCATTGTCATTGCATGTCTTATGTCATCTCCCGAAGCTTCTTCCTCACATAGAAAGCATTCTGTTGCTTTGGGGTCTGACCTTTCGTGGTATCTTGCCACTGCTGCTCTCCTCTGTAGCAACTGCAGAGGTCCGCCTTTTCTGAGCTCTATTTAACTTTGTGTTGTTGAACAGAAGTCTGCAACTCTCATGATACTGTGCCTTGTTTCTCCTCAAGGTCTCCTCTATCCCATCATCTTCAACAAGTCTCGCAGGGTCAAGCTTGATTGGCAGTGCATTGAATGAATGAAATAGAGGAATATTCCTTGCCAAGCTCTTGTAACCGCCATCTCCTTTTTTGGCAGGATTTGCATGTGGAGACTTAAGATCTTCCTTCTTATCCTGTTGACAAAGACAACACTTTGCCCAGTCAGTGAGGAATGATTTGTTGGTAGATTTTGTGTCCATAACTATTTTTGATCTTCAGGGCCGAGGGTTTAACCTTTTACCGCCCTGATGAGCACTTTCTTGTATGGGATACAACTAGGTTCATGCCTTTTGCCCTACACCTAGTCCGATCGTTCATCCAGTGTCATTAGTCCCGTGCGATCTGTACACCATCCAGATAACTAAACCCCGTTATCCTTGGCTCGGCTCTCCCGCGCTGGCACATCCTGTCAATTCAGGTGCGGCTGCTTAACTGATTTGGGGTTGGTTAAGAAGCATTTGGGACACTAAGCTGTTGCAGTTTGACATGCTTTTTCTTAGCTGACACTGAACCCCATGCTGGGTTGCACAGCAGTGATGTCACCAGTGTGCCCTGGTAGTGCCCGACAATCACCCCCTCACATGCAGAGACCCTCTCATTTGTCTCACAAAATCGTATAGATACTTATGGGAGTGAGTTACCTAATTGTAACATCATATTACTCATCACCGAATAACATTTCCAAGAGTGACTTTGGTTCGTATAAATTTAAGAAAAAAACAACACACATAACTAGCCTGTAACTTAAACCTAACTAAACCATAAGTAATCACACAGGCTGGCGTCTCAAGAAAGTCTGGAGACATCATTATTACTCGTCCAGCAGGGTGGTCGACCCTCCCAACTCTCTCATTTTTAGAGTTGCACATTACATGTAGTATTCTCCTATCATTGATGAATCTAATAATGTTTGAAAATTGCCCAAGAACTTTTGGAGTAGTTTCCAATTTTGTATAAAATGTTTTAAGTTATAAGCGTTTGAAAATTTACAAGTTCATGGCTCCTGGTCCCCTCTAGCTTTTGCAGGATACTGTTTGATAGAATGCAAGGGTGTCAAAAGGTGCCACATATCTCTTTGTCGCCAGGTTTAGACTCTATGCAGCTTCTTGAACTGAAGAGATAGCCGAGGAAACTGCGTTAGAGCCCTAAAGAGCAGGGAAACTTAAAAGAGATACTGCAGCTCAGAATGTTTGCCCAGTACTAATATAATCTCCTCTGAGTCTGAGGAAACAGTAGCTAGATGCAGCTTATCTTAGTTTCGATCAAAAATACGATATATAACAATAAAACAAATAAATTTGCTTGCTCTGATTATGAAAAAAAAACGAGAATTACCCAACACCTAGCGAAAAGGCAAGGGTGGGGGTGGGGGGTACTTAACCTTTCCCAGCGGAACGTTACCCTGAGCTGAATAAAATCGTCTGACGGTAGCCAGAATAAAATAGCAAGTGCGTGAAACGCGGCAAAATGGTTAATGATATTTTTAGGGTATAAAATATTATCGTACATTGTTTATACTTGGCAGTAATGTATCGAAAGTTGCCAGATTTCTGAGGATTTTTTCTTCAGAAAATCCGATTTTTCTTCATCTTACGAACGTTCGCAACCCTCCCCTTGTACTGTTACACTCTACACTGTCTACAGCTTTATTTTATCCTCTTCGCCAGTTGACTGTCAGTTCTCTGGGAAACACTGTTGGTCAGTACTGGTGCAAAGGTTAAGCAGTCAGTGAGAATCAGCACTATTGTCGCAGTACTGCTGGCGTTCAAAGAATGTTGAAGTAAATGAAAATAATCAGGAAAATTCCGATCAGTTTGTGGGACATCTTCAAATGCTGTTCTTATACCGGGATGCCACCTTTAGCTGTTGTCTGTTGTGTCAACTCCTTCTCGGCGGCCACTGTAATAAAGACGACATACATTTTATAACAACGTGAGTGTTTTACATCACTCAAAATAAAAGCAAATAACAAAGAATATAAAATAATTTAAGATAAATATGAATAAGCTGTATCAGGGGAAATAAGCTGGGGAGGGCAAATCTTCAGGTGATCTTCTCTGTCTAAAATATACCCCTGACCTACACGACATCACCTGCTTAAGAGCGCTAAAGTTCCCCCTCTTGAGGTGAACACAGGAGGCGTCAACCTATACCTCTCACGTTTCTTGCTGAAGTTATTGACAGCGATACTAGTTTATTCGTGAAAGAAAACATGTTAAGTGAACCTTTTGATTGGCATATAAGAGAAGGGAATAAATGATAAACAGACAGACAGACATTGAGAGAACATACTTAGATCACAAAAAAGACAGTGGCACACGAATACACTAAATCAAAACTCTGGTAATACTCGTAAAACCAACTAAGACTATGAAGGGGCAATCGATTATAACACACTGACACTCTCTATGGGAAGAGGTGGTACAGCATACCTGGGGGGCAGGCGAGGGCATGGAGAAGGTGGTCCAGGTGGCCAGGCAGGCGGTACACACGCCCAGGAGTCACGTGGTTGAGCAGCGCCTCCTCCGGGGTCTCCTTAAACCTGAGAAAGTAACACCGTGTTATGTTATTTTAATAAGAACATAAGAAAATAAGGAGTCTGCAATAGGCCGGTTGGCCTGTGCATGGCAGCTCCTGTCGAGAGTTACTACCACTCCCTATCATCCATGAATCTATCTAGCCTCCTTTTGAAACTTTCCAGCGTTCCAGCACTTACTACAACGTTGCTAAGCTTGTTCCACTCGTCCACCACCCTGTTTGTGAACCAGTTTCTTCCTATCTCCCTCCTAAACCTAAACTTATCCAACTTGAATCCGTTGCTCCGAGTCCTATCCTGCTCGGATATTATAAGAACTTTATTTATATCCCCTTTATTGATTCCTTTCACCCACTTAAATACTTCTATCATATCTCCCCGCACTCTTCGTCTTTCTAGGGAATGCAAGTTTAGTTTCTTTAACCTATCCTGATATGGAAGGTTTCTAAGTCCCGGAATCATTTTTGTCATTCTTCGCTGCACCGACTCTAGTGAATATATATCCATTCTATAATAAGGGCACCAGAACTGAACCGCATAATCGAGGTGCAGCCTGACTAGCACAAGATATAGTTGCAATAAGACCTCTGCACTCTTGTTACTTACACTTCTAGATATAAAACCCAATACTCTGTTTGCCTTATTTCGAACATTAACGCACTGTTTTCTGGGCCGTAGGTCCGGGCTTACAAGTACCCCGAGGTCTCGTTCACAAGTCGACTTCTCTAGGTTGATGTTGTTAAGGCTGTATACATTATCAGTATTTGCTCTTCCAATATTAAGTACGCTGCACTTGCTGGCGTTGAATTTCATTTGACATTTTTCAGACCACCCCTGCAGTTTATTTAGATCCTCCTGTAATGCATTTGCATCCTGCCCTGAATTAATCTGCCGCCCTATTTTGGTGTCATCCGCAAACTTGCTTAAGTCACTGCTGATCCCAGTATCTAGATCGTTTATGTAGATTATGAATAAGAGTGGGCCTAGTACTGACCCCTGGAGAAGCCCACTGGTTACATGGCCCCACTCAGATTTAACACCATCTACCCTGACCCTCTGCGTTCTATCGGTGAGCCATAATTTTATCCAATTTAAAACTTCCCCTCAATACCATGAGCCATAATTTTTCTCAGAAGCCTCTGATGCGGTACTCTGTCAAATGCTTTGCTAAAGTCTAAGTAAATAACATCGTAATTTTCGTCATTATCTCCTACCTCGAAGACTTTCCTAAAAAACGTTAGCAGATTTGTTAGACAAGATTTTCCCTTTGTAAACCCATGTTGAGAGTCGTAGATTAATTTGCTTTTCTCTAGATGCGATCGGATGCTATCTGCTATAATTGATTCAAGACACAATAGGGCAAATGTTAAAGAGACATTTATAATGTTGGCACCACCAACACGAGAATGGACATCAGGAAACAGTTCCAGACCCTTGGAACGGTCTATGAGCCCAACTTGTGGAATCACGAACAGTACTGGGCTTCAAAATAGCCCTTGACAAATTTATGTAAAACAATGGCGGGATCCTACACAGACCACTGGCCTTCTTCCCTTGGCATGATCACCTCTAGTGGGTGACTGTGAGCTAAATAAGGTAAATAATTAAGGATCTATAATGTTAGGCGAGATTTATCAAAGAATTATGTTAAATTAGGAGGTTGTTTATTGTAAGGCATGTTATAATATGTGTGTGTGTGTGTGTGTGTGTGTGTGTGTGTGTGTGTGTGTGGCTCTATGGGCATACATTTCATGGATAAAGTCTACAGACACACCGCTGTAACTGGATGAATTATCAATATTTTTGTTTATGTATTGAGTGGTAACGTGTACTGTATATGAACAACAAGATACGACCGTAAGAATAATGACACGATGCCTCAAACTGAGAACACATGAAAACACTCAGTAACTCACTGTATCTGATATAGACGTTTGTAGTCTTGGGAGAAGAAAGAGGACTCGAGTTTGTGAAGGAAGTCAACCAAGAGGAAGTGGAAGGCCCCCTCTTCACCAGTCACTGCCTGTGTGTTGTCTTGTGTACCGCCATTTTCTTTGCCGTCTGAGAAATTATTGGTGTTGTTGCATCCTAGACTTGTGTTCTCCCTGTTTGTTGTGTTTTCTTGTCCTTCAACTGTTTCCTCCTCACTGTCTATGTCTGAAACTTCCTTGGGCTTCACTTCAGCGTGAATGGTCGGAGAATTGTTTTCTAGACCATAAACATTTTTCTCGGTCGTGTTCTGGACAAAGGTGTGGTTGAAGATCATATCTCCGGTCTTATCATCACGAGTGGGATTCATCAAGGTTGTCTTCTGAGATGGTGTGATTTCTGTTTGTATCTTGCGATTCTTAGTTTCTGGTGTGAATTGAGGTTTCTTGCCATGGAGATTCTGGCCAGCAGACATCGAGAGGGAGGTGTGCTGAAGCTGTAGTCTTCTAGCTTCCTTAGAGGCCACTAGGAGTGTGACAGTTGCCGGATGGAGGAGCTTCCTCATCAGCCACATTGTGCCGTCCGATAACTTATCCAGGTCCATTGGGTCATACAGGTCTAGGATCTGTGGAGGCCAGCAATGTTGTCACTCTCCCACACAAGATAGTATAAATGACGTACTTGGGGGAACTTTGCAAGTCATCCCATAAGCCTTCACATACTATTTTTTAACAACTACCGAATCATGGAAGAGGCTTATCATGATAGAAACACTTTGTAAATCACCAGACGGCCGAAATAAAAAAAAATCAGTCATTATTACGAATAAATTCCAGTGATTTAAGACCTACCACTGGAGACTGGGTACTGTACACTTGGTTCCGCTCCCACATTTACCACTTAGTGTTGACAATGCTCTCTCTCCCTGAGGTGTGAACCCTGAACTCTGTAGTGTGAAACTGAAGTATATTCACTTGTGAGCGGGGGGTGGGGGGGGGGGGGTAGAGGGGAGGGGTGTTTGGGGGGCGGGGTACTAGGGATGAGGACAGAAAGTGTATATCAGTTGAGAGAGATTACAAGGCATAAGAACACTTTGACAGTACAGACGGGGTTTACTCAGCAGTGTAATCGTCTAGCGCTAGCCAGATGAAAATACTAAAGTTACAATAGTATGAGAGTAATGAATATTATTCTGTGTAAGGTGTTCCTTTGTAAAAGGAGGCATTTATGAGCAAATATAATATGGATATGTTTGAATTAACATCTTGTAGAAGCAGTGTTGTTTTGTTTAACTTCTTGACTACAAGATGGAACTTCCCCGGCTGAATAATATCGTCTGGCGGTAGCCAGACTAAATTAGATAAGAAGACATCGTAGTAAAGGGATTAATTAGCAATCAAAATTGATTTTTGTCACAGCCAGTTTGTATTACAATAAATATTTGGTGCCCACTTCCTGATATTTTGATTGCTAATTAATCCCTTTACTACGATGTCTTCTTATCTAATGGCAGGTGCGGGAGATCCTAACACACCATTCACCTGATGGGGGGTTTTCTGCTGCAGGAGGCTGATGAAGGCGGCCACCTGGTGCTTCACGTCCTGAGCGTATACTATCAGCACGTTCCGTTTTGTTGGTGCATTTTGTTGCTGCTGAACTATGCCCTTCAGCCAACTGTCATCCCTGTTTCCACCAGTGTTCACGACCATTGCTCCTCCTGGTAGAAATAACATCATGTAATTTATTATTATATCAGTGTTACGCCCACACGCTCCTTTGAAGATTGGTGGTAATTTTCAGTATGTTCGTCGCCTCTGTGTGCTTTGGTATTTCGCCTTACTTTATGGAAGAAGTATTGTCGCGACGTGGAGACTCTTAAGAGGACAGAACACATTGAGTTTCATAATAATCATGAAAATGTAACGACAGTAACTACAGTAGCGGATTTAGATAGTGAAATTAACAAGACAGAATGATTAGAAATAGATGAATAGTTGGATACACAAACGAGAATAAAATTATTACAGTACTAGCAGAATCGCCGCCCTCCGGGAGGCTCATCCTCTGGGCAACGGTAGGACGCTCCCCTCCGGGAGGCTCCACATTGTATCTCTGTTCAGTCCCCAAAACTTCTTCTTCCATCAATAGTTTATTAACGGTGTATGTAAGTTCCACCATGTTTTTCACGACAACGGTACAGCAAAGTATGTTTTTTTAGCATTAAAATGTTATTATTTTATTGTCTAATCATCACTACATATAACACCACCCATCATCACTACATATAACAACATCCATCATCACTACATATAACACCATCCATCATCACTACATATAACACCATCCATCATCACAATATATAACACCATCCATCATCACTACATATAACACCATCCATCATCACTACATATAACACCATCCATCATCACTACATATAACACCATCCATCATCACTACATATAACATCATCCATCATCACTACATATAACACCATCCATCATCACTACATATAACACCATCCATCATCACTACATATAACACCATCATCATCACTACATATAACACCATCCATCATCACTACATATAACATCATCCATCATCACTACATTTAACACATCCATCATCACTACATATAACACCATCCATCATCACTACATTTAACATCATCCATCACTACATATAACACCATCCATCATCACTACATATAACACCATCCATCATCACTACATATAACACCATCCATCACCACCTCCATCATCACTACATATAACACCATCCATCATCACTACATAACACCATCCATCATCACTCATCACTATATATAACATCATCCATCATCACTACATATAACACCATCCATCATCACTACATATAACACCATCCATCATCACTACATATAACACCATCCATCATCACTACATATAACACATCCATCATCACTACATATAACACCATCCATCATCACTACATATAACACCATCCATCATCACTACATAACACCATCCATCATCACCATAACACCATCCATCATCACTACAGATCTGTAAAGTAGTTTGAATTCTCGCGTGACACAAACACGCACCTACAGTGATTGCCATATATATATATATATATATATATATATATATATATATATATATATATATATATATATATATATATATATATATATATATATATATATATATATACATATATATATATATATATATATATATATATATATATATATATATATATATATATATATACAGAGACTTACAGGTTTATGTTACAGCTGTATCTAACTATAACTGAGGTTTATAGTTACAGCTGTATCTTTTAACTATAACTGGGGTTTATGTTACAGCTGTATCTCTTAACTATAACTGGGGTTTATGTTGCAGCTGTACTTCTTAACTATAACTGGGGTTTATGTTACAGCTGTATCTCTTAACTATAACTGGGGTTTATGTTGCAGCTGTACTTCTTAACTATAACTGGGGTTTATGTTACAGCTGTATCTCTTAACTATAACTGGGGTTTATGTTGCAGCTGTACTTCTTAACTATAACTGGGGTTTATGTTACAGCTGTATCTCTTAACTATAACTGGGGTTTATGTTACAGCTGTATCTCTTAACTATAACTGGGGTTTACGTTGCAGCTGTACTTCTTAACTATAACTGGGGTTTATGTTACAGCTGTATCTCTTAACTATAACTGGAGTTTATGTTACAGCTGTATCTCTTAACTATAACTGAGAAGCAGCCAGTTGACTGCACCACTCGCTCCGCTGTGGGAACATAATCACAAGAGAACAGACGGATCTCAGCAGCGACAAACCACAGTTCGTTGTCACACTCAGTCCCTCCCTAGTATTGAAAACTTTCAGCATGTCAGTAACTATCTAATACAGTAAATAAAAATAATTTCAAGAGACATTGTTACTTTTCCAAATATCTTCGAGTCGTCTGCAAACTTGACAATGTGGCTCGATATGTTTCCATCTATGTAGTTTATGTAGATCACAAACAAGGTGGGTCCAAGGATAGAGCCTTGTGGTACTCCACTGAGAATTATTTTCGATTCAGAAAGTAATCCATTGATTCCAAAACACATCTGCCAGTGAAGCCTTTGTTCTCAAAGAGTGCAGATTGGTAGCTATGGAGCTCATACCGGAACCTTCCGTCAGATTATCATTAAGGTTACATGCTGTAACTAACCTCTGGAGCAGGAATTGAGGGTCCAAGTTCTATGTAATCTGTTACTTATGTTTTTTACCTTACATAATTTGATTTTAATCTTTGAAGCCTCTATTTTAATTCGGCGACATATGACGTAAGCTGTTGCCTCGCCAGGGATGTAATTATCACAATCAATCAATCTATGTTGATCACCTCCTCTTTGACCTTTATTACATTGATGATACTAAGGGAAACTCTTTCATATTTTTCCTTGCATGAATATTTGGCGACATTCTTCCCCTTCATGTTTTGCAGGATGTTTCTGCCAACCTTTTTAGAACAATCTGTATTGCCAGTAACATCTACTGCCATTGTACACCAGTTAAGTGAGAAGATAGCAAAGTGCTTGATTCTCACGGAAAGGATTCCTTGAAATCAGAAAGTCAAGAAGCTCTTGTGTGTCCGTCATCTCTTTCTCCAGTGTTGAAGCAGACATATCTTTGTGTTGCTCGCTTGTCTGATAGCTGACAGACGTCAACTCCTGCATTGCTAGGTTGACCTCTGAAGTGTCACTGCTGGACAACATACACACTAGACGTTGAGCTTCAGACATTCCTAGTCAACTTGTCAGCCCACCTGATGTCTTTAAGCTCCTCATCAACACCTGCTTTATTATGAGATCCGAAATAACCCCGCCCAGTATCTCTCAGATCGCTTAGCGACATGGAAACCATTTTGAAAATATTGGTATTCTCGTGGGAGTTGTTCTTCGAGTTGATTCATTTTTTGCAAGTACAAGTGTAGTGTCGTGCAGCAGCGACATTTCCTGCAGCACATTCAGGTGCTTTGTCTGTTCCCAGTGCGTTCCGCTTTGATGACACCTTGTAGAATGGACACCATATCTAGATACTGCAGCCGAAGATTGGATGTAGTGTAGTGAGGGTTTAAAAAAAAAAACCACATGTATAAATTTCCACTTTAATGGAAATAGCTTTTTTATGAGCCTCGGTGTATTCAGAACAGTTCTATATGGTGTACAGTATGATTTTTTGTGTGCTAATACTGTATATCTTTATTAGTATTCTGATTGTAATAATAAAGATGGTCAAAATTATGTAATGACACGTCGCGGTGGCCAACTGGCCATCTTGGATTTGTGTAAATTAGGCGGTGTTCCACCACTAATATTTTACTACAGTATATTTTTTGTTTGTTATTCTAGAGATTTTTCCGAGACATTTGGCGTTGGAATCATTTTTCTTGCAATTTGTGGTGGGCTGTGTGGAAGGGGAAAATGGTGAGTCTCCCTCTTGTGTCCAACCCTCACACCGAGGGTAGGTAGGGAGGGGAGCCGCGTATGAAGGAGGAGTAACTCACTACATAACATGACAGCATTTATGATACGGTCTTTTTACCGTCAGGTTCATACTCAATGTTCACTTGGTTACTAATCACTCCACACATCTCTAGACAAAATTCCAACTTAAACAAAGAAGGACTCTAAGGAATGCCACAGACTCATGGCGTCACGTCTCCTAGGCTCTTGTTATTGGCCCAGGCCTAAGGCACTCACGCTGTCATTGGTCAACCCTCCCAGGCACTCATGGCTTTAGCGGGAACACTGTCATCTCGGATGATATGGCAGGTAACAATTACACTAAAAACATGGCACTGTTACAATACTTCCCCTGGTCGCTTAGCGATATGAAAATTTGAGATGTTTACAAAATATTTCAAAAATTTTCATTTCTAATCGTAGCTAGGAATATCTTAACTTAATTAGCATAATAATCAAATTGACAATACAAAACATCTGTTTCTCAATATTTTCAAATCAAACTGTTCTTCGCTAAATATCACTTAACTCACAAAAAGGTATGTAAGTAGATCTGAACTAATGACACAGGTTGACACACATGCAAAGAAAATAAATTCTAGTAAATGTCAAAATAATATTAAAATGCTCTCAATCTTAAGGTAATAACACTAGAAATTGCTGAAAACAAACGTAATAAAAATTTCAAATTTGAGTCACACAAAATCAACTGACAGAAGGCAAAATCATGAGAGCTAAAATTAGGAATAAATTCAATTTTAAAAAGAAAAGTCAGTAATGAAATCATTGTAGGATAGAAATTCTGACTAATGGTAAATAATAAAAAAAAATCAAGATCAATTAGGCATCAAATAATTTTTTAAGAAATCATAATAAATTCAATCAAATGAAAAAAATGCTTAATTAATAGTCATGCACAAGACAAACATATATAATACAAGATGGACTTATTATCTAATTTAATTTATCTCATTTTGGTTCCAATTATTCAAAATTTTGGCAAATTCAACTTGATCAATTTCAACATGAATTTTCAGCATTATTATAAACGTCTTAACATGCTCATATATGAACACAAATTTAAAAATCACTTTAAAAATCTCAACATATTCATTTTCAAAGTCAATTTGCAGGACTTCTCAGAACATAGATTTTCTTCACGTCTCATCTTAATTCACTTAAAACTCTGGCTTTCATTTTCTTAGCCGAGTTCATA